TGTTTATTGTTTATTTTACCAGTAGTTTGGATTACAAAATCCTGAAAACCGTCATGAAATATTTACATATTTAAATCATTTACTACTTATATAAGCATATGTAACTTATATTACATTATTTATCTATTAAATGTGGTATTATCATGGAGCGACAGAATAAGCAATTAGGTACATTATGAAAGTAATTTATTTTTGTATGTTAACCGTAAAATACACAACTTTTAAACAGTATGGAAATACTGTGCGTAGTAATAAATCAGAAGAAATATAAACAGAGGAATGGAAAGTATAATGGTATTATTGGCCTGAAAATTAATTTTCTCAATTAAAAAAATACTTCAGAAGACGTTTTGGCCAGTGAAACAAAATTTATTTCTATATAATGTGAATGTACTGGTTATTACTTTCCTTTAGTCTCTTCATCTTATGAAATAGTTATTACGGTAAAAGTAATTCTTAGCAAATAAAGAGCAAACATGAATATTTAACTAAATAAATAAATTTTAAGTGCTGAAATACACAACAGTTAGTCAAACAGGTAGCAATTTTTAACAAACAGACAGCTTGTCAAATTTGTAAACAGCAAACTTCATTCATCTTACATTGATCGTTTGAATTTTCCGATTGATGTTTAGCACTCCAACTGGTCTATCTTTTAGTAGTATTACTTACTTACTTACTTACTTTCGCCTGTTACTCCCAATGGAGCATAGGCCGCCGACCAGCTTTCTCCAACCCACTCTGTCCTGGGCCTTCTTTTCTAGTTCTATCCAGTTCTTGTTCATTCTTTTCATGTCTGTCTCTATTTTTCGGCGTAATGTGTTCTTTGGTCTTCCTCTTCTAATTTGACCATCAGGATTACATGTGATGGCTTGTCTTGTGACACAATTAGCTGATTTCCTCAAGAGGTCTTATCCATTTCCAGCGCTTCTTCTTGATTTCTTCCTCCACTGCAATCTGGTTTGTTCTCTCCCACAGTAACTTGTTCCTGATAGTGTCTGGCCATCTGATCCGAAGTATCTTGCGTAGACAGCTGTTAATAAACACTTGTATCTTCTGGATAATGGCTTTTGAAGTTCTCCACGTCTCCGCCCCATACAGTAGAACTGTCTTGACATTTGTATTGAAAATTCTAACCTTGGTGTTGGCTGACAATTGTTTTGAGCTCCAGATGTTCTTCAGTTGCAGATATGCTGTTCTTGCACTGCCGATCCGTGCCCTCACATCTGCATCTGATCCACCATGTTCATCAATGATGCTGCCCAAGTATGTAAAGGTTTTCACATCCTCCTAGGCTTCTCCGTCAAGTGTAATTTGATTGGTGCATATTGTATTGTATCGGAGAGTCTTGCTTTTCCCTTTGTTTATATTGAGACCTACTGCTGCTACACTGGTCGTTTTCTTCTGCATTTGTTGTCAAGCTGCATCCTGCCTGTCCACTGTATCCCGTGCTTTCCTCCAGTTGTTGACGTCTTCATGATCCAGTCGATGACCAGGAGAAAGAGAAAGGGTGAGAGTAAGCAACATTGCTTCACACCGGTCTTTACTTCAAACGAGTCGGTGAGTTGTCCTCCGTGGACGATTTGACAGTTAAGTCCATCAAAGAAGTTCCGTATGATATTGACTATCTTCTAAGGCACGACATAGTGTCGAAGAAGCCTCCATAGTGTCGTCCTGTCCACGCTATCAAATGCCTTCTCGTAGTCGATGAAGTTGATGTAGAGTGATGAGTTCCATTCGATTGATTGTTCCACAATGATCCGCAGAGTTGCGATTTGATCTGTGCACGATCTATACTTACGAAATCCAGCTTGTTGATCTCGAAGTTGGGCGTCCACGGAATCCTTCATCCTGTTTAACAATACTCTGTTGAACACTTTTCCTGGTATTGAGCGAAGAGTGATGCCCCTGTAGTTGTCGCACTTGCTGAGATCGCCTTTCTTTGGTATCTTGATCAGAAGTCCTTTTTTCCAGTCTGTTGGTACATGTTCTTCGTCCCAAATCTTACTGAAGAGGATGTGGAGTATCTTGGCAGTTGCTGCTACATTTGCTTTCAGTGCCTCTGCCGGGATGTTTTCTGGTCCCGCTGCTTTGCCGCTCTTGATTTGTCTAATGGCCATGCTGATCTTTTCAATTGTTGGTGGGCCAACATCAATTGGGAGGTCTGTGGGTGCTGCTTCGATGTTGGGTGGGTTCAGTGGAGCTGGTCGATTTAAGAGTTCTTTGAAGTGTTCTACCCACCTGTTTTGTTGTTCTTCAGTGTCAGTGATTACTTCACCTACCTTGCTTTTCACTGGTCTTTCTGGCTTAAGGTGATTCCCAGCAAGTTTCTTTGTTGTATCATACAGTTGTCTCATGTTTCCCTCTCTTGCAGCCTTTTCCGCTGTCATCGCTAAATCTTCCATATATTTACGTTTGTCGGTTCTCATGCTCCTCTCCACTTGCTTGTTTGCCACTGTGTATTCGGCTTGTGCCTTGGCTTTTTCCGCCTTGGTTCGGCTGATATTGATTGCTACCTTCTTGTTCCTCATTTCTTCAATTTTATCCAGTGTACCAACAGTGATCCATTCCTTGTGATGGTGCTTCTTTTGGCCCAGAACCTCCTGACACGTTGAAACGATTGCCTCATTGATACCTTTCCAATTGCTCTCCATGTTAGTTCCCTCTCCATTGAGTAGATCATGAAAGGCCTCAAACCTCTTGCTGAGGGCTATGCTGAATTTGTTGAGTTTGTCAGCATCTCGAAGAAAGGCCGTATTAAACTTTTGTGATGTTGTCCGCACCGTTGTCCAGTGCTTCTTGAGTTTTAGTTTCATCTTGGCGACCAGCAAATGATGATCGGATACTATATTAGCTCCTCTTCTGGTTCTCACATCCTCCATCGTCCTCCCGAACGTTTTGTTGATGCAGATATGGTCGATTTGATTCTGTGTAGTGTGATCCGGTGAAATCCAAGTGGCTTTGTGTATGTTTTTGTGTGGGAATATGATGCCACCTATGACCAGTTTATTGAAGGCACATAGGTTTGCAAATCTCTCACCATTTTCGTTCCTTTCTCCCAGTTCATGTCGTCTTCGCATCCAGTGTTGTCCGTTCCAACCTTGGCATTGAAATCTCCAACCAGAATGGTCAGGACCTTGGATTGGCACTTCTCGAAGATCGATTGCAGCTTATCGTAGAATTGGTCTTTAGCGTCTTCATCGTAGTCGTTGGTAGGCGCATAGCATTGGATGACGTTCATTGTAATGTCCTCTCTCTTTGTTTTGAAGGAGGCTTTGATGATCCTTGGTCCATGGGATTCCCATCCAATAAGTGCATTTTGTGCTTGTTTGGACAGCATCAATGCAACTCCTTGTGTATATGGGGCATTTTCTTCTTCATGACCGGAGTATAACAGAAGTTCCCCTGAAGATAGTCGTTGTTGTCCAACCTGCGTCCAATGTGCTTCACTGATTCCAAGCACCTCCAGGTTGTATTTTCTCATTTCTGCAGTAATTTGGAAGATTCTTCCGGTTTCCCACATTGTCCGGACATTCCTTGTACCTTTAAAAATTGTCGCTCTGGTTGTAAGAAGATGCATCGGCCTCATGACTTCCGAAGGAACTCGGCTTTCATCATGAGACGTCATAATTATTCCCTCAACTCCCAGGGCAGAGTTTAAATGGTTTGAATGGTTTTTTCTGGTTAGCGTTTTTTTTAGCGAGTTGGTTTCCTACGGGATGCGGTCGCTAACCCCATGCCCAACCCTCCTCCTTTACCTGGGTTTGGGACCGGCAGTAGCCCCCGGAGGAGCTACAGGCGGAGTTTCTTAGTGGTATATTTGCATCTTGTTCTGATTGCCTCGATATTCTTTAAAATCTCAATTATTATAAGCATAGATTGACGGTAGCTCACTAGTCCTAAACAAGGCGAAACTCTAGTCCTAAGTTCCACTGCCAGCAACTATCCATCTCTGTTTTCTCTTTATTGTTACGAAAAGATCTATAGTTATTTAGATGATAACTTTTAAAGGAAAGCTCCTCTAGAAATTTAACTTAAACTTTTAATCCCGTAAACAAAGTTATTTATAATTTCACAAATCGACCACTGAAAACATACAAATTGCCTCTGCTTATAAATTTGAACAAGATGATAAGAATACAGGACTTTTAAAAAATGAATACTTTATGTAATCCTCGAAGATTATTCACTGCATTTGGTTAACCGACTTCTACTATGTCACTTGCTCTTAAATAGTTATAATGATTCCAAAAAAATAATGTCTACTTTTAGATATATGGTTCAGTATTTTCATTCATACTCTCATGAGGATGCAAATTATCTGTTTCTAATTCATTTTACAATTATTGGAATTATTCAGCAGGGATTTCATTTAATTCACTAAGTGAATAAAAATGATAAACGATATTTAAAAGTACATTGGATGGAGTTTTATTAAAACAATTAAAATTATCTATAGGTTTCTTACAGACACTTTAATATGATGCAAATTTTGAGGTTGAGATAATTCGTTCAATTCCTTGTTTGGTAGTAACGATTTGGCGAATAAAAATGAAGCTTAAAAGGATAACCATTCATAATTTGTACTTTTTTCCATGATAGCCATAATATTTGTGAGTGAATCTTCTGTTCGAATTTATAATTTAATTGATAAAGAAGCAATTTTTCTGATAGAAAATAAGGAATTATGAAAAGAATGGTAGTTAAGTTGTAACATTTAGTGTTCCTTTGAGTATTTTATTCAAGAAAAACCAGTACTTTGAAATAGTCAGTCAATCAGCTACAACGTAGGACCAGGCACACATATGCATCGGTCAAAGTTGCCATATCTCGTTAGCACAACAAGATGAAAACCGAATTCATAGAAGTAGTTAATTTAGTGGTGGTAATATATAAAAGAAAGGTTGTACATAAGGATATAGTATGGGAAGGAAGACAGATATGAAGCGGTTTTAATCTAAAGTGCGTATACACCTGCGCCATTGTGATCGATTCTGAGCCATGTCACCTAGAGTCTCCAACCAGTGTAATTTGAAATAAATAAAGTATGAATAAGAAAATGAGTAACACTACATTTAAATAGTGTATGTAGTGAGTCTACCATTACAACGTTTTGAAATCTAAATTGCTACAGAATGTACTAAGGATTACAAAAGTAAATATGGTTTAACAATAGTGACTATCCAGAAAATTACATTCCTATAGGTAATACTGTTTAGAGTAATCATTTGTAATGTAAACAATCACCATTTGTTAATAATGACTTCAACATAATATAACAAGATAAATTCTTAAAATGTATTAGTTTTGCTAAGTCTCATATCTTTACTTTCTAGATGTATGCTTCTATTGAATGTAAATAAATAGACATAGACTAGAAAGCATATATAATAAATATAACCTTGAAATGTATGAAACAATTTGAAAATAAATATTATAAATTAGCTGGCAAGAGTGAATGCTTGACGACAATCATAATAATAGAACATGAAGTTATGTTTATTCATATTTTTCCATAATAATATTTTGGATTAGATAGTACATGTATACTTCGCTTTATCAAAATAAATAAACCCTTTGTTTTAATATGATTCAGGAAAAGTGTATCCACATATAAATTCAACTTAGTATTGTATGTTTGAATCTTCCCATTGATTTGTTAGGACTGCCATCTGCTAATCGTATCCACATATAGTTTCATGAATTACGTCAAACAATATAACATGTACTAGATCCGAATATGGTATATCTCTGAAAGAAAGAAATTCAACATATACTATAATAAATCAAGTAATATTGATTTTCTGTTCATATTACTAGGAATGATATTGTTGAAATATGCACCGGAAGATAGGAATTTGTAAAAAACAAAATAGAACAATGATGGCAAAATATTTTGTTATTGAACTTACTGTACAGTAAGAATGTTGATGTAAACATTTGGGTAATCATTTTAGTACATTTTAGTACAGTTGCAATTTAGATCATTTATCCGATGATCAGATATGGTAATAGATAACAGAATTATACTGTCTAACAAAATTTATCTGAATATTGATGACTGTCGTGTATTGATTTATTTTAAAACTAGAATAAATGGTTACATACAAATTACAATTTACTAGTGAATAAGATCTGATTGATAAGAACATTAGTTTCCTCCGACTAATTATTCGTCCAGAAAGCTTACCCGGTCTGTTGCTTTTGGGCAAACATTCTTGGATTTCTCTCACTACGTACGGTATAGTATGATCTAATCAAATAACGTACTTTCCTTATAGAAACGTGACATCTTTGTCATCATTTTAAGATAAAAACAAACACAATACTAATTTAAAGATAACAATAATGGCACTAAAAGACTGATGTCCAATATATGGTCATAATTTATGATAACCATTTCACTACTGTAGTCTATAAAATGGTGCTGCTGATCATATTTTCAAAAAATATTGAATGTGCACTGATTAATTGTGAAAATCTCTGACACAACATAAACTCAGTTTCTTACGAAACCGACAACGACTAGTTTCAATAGGAATATGTACACAATGCAGAATGGCATACTTTTTCATGTCATGAATTGCAAACACTGGATCTTTATCGTTAACAAGGAACTATTTGGAACACACACTGTGGTTACAATGGTGAACTAATTGCACACTAAACACTTTTTATCAGATTTTCTGTTCTCTTTTGAAAGCTTAACTAGGATTCTTATGTGGTATAACAGAGTGAAAATTCTTAAAGATGACTTATGATCAACTCAGTACTTCACTAAGAGAGTTGAAGAGAAATTCTTATTTAGGAGATCATATACAGTCTTTAACGAATAAGTCCTACCGTAGCAAAATATGAAAGTGATTATTGTGTATCATCTTTTTGTAAATTCTCATGGAAGCTCGAAATAGAATATAAAACTAATTAACACACGCAAAGATAAACCATTAAAAGTTATTGACTTACCATCAAATACAATATTCATGATTTAGGAGAAGCGACAAAATGATGATCATCAGAAACAATAATCCATCAAGATTTTCATGATTGTATCATTACGCTACCAAGTTAAATCACCTTGTTTTGTATTTTAATTAGTAAATTACTATCATACTTAACACTGAAATCATGTTTCATTTACAAAGAGAATATTTTATCAGTACATAGGTGCATCAAATACTTATGAAATGTAACACTATCAGCAGGTTTCTATAGAACTGTTTACTAACTTGAACAAAGAATTGATATAAATGTGTATTAATTCCGATCAGTCAGGTAAAATAATTAATAAAATGAATAGCAAATTAATAAGGATGAAAAATACAAACAGTAATACTAAGGTTCTATATGCGACTAGTTTAAAAAAAATCACGTGTTAAAAGGGAATACAAAATTAGTAAATATCTAAATAACTGATACATTAGAAACAAATAAGGTAAGCATATAACTAAATTTATGCTTTTAGAATAAGTACGCAAATTTCTTTGTTTTCTTTCAATAAACCCATGTTTATTTCACATGATTTATATCATTCAAAGGCCTATATAGCATAGTTAAATTGAATTAAATGAGTTATTTTCAGTCTCATTGTATTTCATTCTAAAGGCATTACGTAACCAACTCATCAATATTATTGAATAAATTTCTTTTGATATAACTTGTATGACTTTTCACTTTATTATTACTCTGTTGAAGTACATAAAATTAAGATAGATATCATTAGCTAATTTGGGACTTCTAAACCATAACTAAACACGGTTACAGCTAACTTTAGACAGCAATGAAAATTCAATGCAAACGGATTGATTTTTAACTTAACTCATTCTATCATAAGTAGTTACTTTTTTGTAATTGGCAAATCAAAGAATTCAAAGTGTATCTACATACTTCTATAAATTTATGATTTCCTAGTTTCTTCAGAACATTTGATAACGTAACTTAATTATTGGTAGTTTTACAGGATAATTTAACAATCGTCACCGCTTAAAAGTATATTCATCATTCATAAATATGATGAACATTGTGAATTATGACCGTTTGTTTTTATAAGCAACATTTACGGTATCTATTACTTTTTATTGATTAGTTAAAAATAGAAATTTTTTATCGAATATCTTTGAATGGTCAATTAATTGAGTTATCAGACTACTGAAATTGATTATTTCAATAGATTATCTAAAAAAGAGAAAATTATTATTTATATTAAACAGTTATGACTATATGAATTAGATATTTATAAGCTGATTTTTATAATAATTTGACAATTCACATTTATACATTTGATTACTGTATACACAAGTTTCAGAAATACCAGTTTGTTAGAAAAGTTTTAATCTAAATAAATCAGATGAATTAACTTATTGATGAAATATAAGCTAATTAAGAGGGATTTCAATATATATTAGAGGTATATGCCTTTTTGATTTTACTAAAAACAGTAATCAAGCAAAGTGTCATCTTTGTACAATAAAGATGACTGAGGCAAGTAAGGGTTTACAGTAACTAATGATCCACAAAAATCGTTTGTGTTAGCTTATTTGTAAATTGCATAATCGTCTGTCGTGTATAAAGTAGTCAGAGGAAGTCAAATTAGTGGGCTATAATACAAATTAAAATGTATACCTGGTAAAATAAGTGCTAGTCCAACAAGATGCCCAGAGATACTGAATGAAGTAATCTCTAATCGGTATTAGCTGTTTACATTAAAACTCTACATTGTTTAAAATTCTTAGGAATAGAATTTCATTTGGTTGAATATCGAAATGTAAATTTTTCTCAAGTTGATATTCTCTGTAAACGAAAATTTATTTAATTTAAAAAGAATAATAATATTTATGGATAGCATTCCAAAAAAAGTTGAAGGAAAATTTACATATACCCCGTTTTTACATATGGAAGGTCTCTGCTTTTATTTTTGTAATGCTCATATAAGTGTACGGTATCGAAAAATTTAATAATATAGAAAACATTTAAGACAGTTTAAGTAAATAATCCCGAGCAATGTTTAGTTTCAACTGGTATTGTTTTGTTTGCATATTTCCATTGTTGTTTAGGAATAATGTTTACTCCGGGACTCGAACGCAGTGCCGTTCATTGCATTATCGAAATTTATCAAAGGGACTAATTGTTTTAAAAAGATAAAGATTATCAGAACTATGTGATATATAAGCGCAATACATTTCGAACAATCTGATCACACATATACTTGTTAGGAAAATTGATATCTAAAAATAAAAAGGTAAACTAGACATAAGATTGATCTTAACTCGGCTTTTGTGGTGTTGTATAAAAGTGTAAAAGGGCACATACTAAGGTTTATTGAAGCCTTTGCCATACGAAAATTAAACCCCCTTTGTGTGTTCAAAAGCAGTTTGCTCTCACCTTAAATCTACCCTGGTAATATTAGTTTATTATCCAGAATGATTAGGTTTCAAATTGTTTTCACATTATATCTATTATTATTATTATTATTATTATTATCTCCTCTTACTCCCCCCCCTTTCCAGTCTAGTTGACCTTTTATTTTTATATATAAATGTTCTTAACATGTATATGTATGATCGGATTGCTCGAAATGAATTGCGCTAATATATCACATAGTTCTGATTATCTTAATATTCTTATTACACTATCGAAATAAGTACTCATCAAAACATGAACTAACAGAAATTAGGCGCCAAATATATGTAAGACATTATATGTAATTGAAATAAGGATGTAAACTTTTGAAAGTTGCCTAATTTCATTATCTCTTCAGGGTTTTTCAGAGAAATAAATAAAATTTTGATTATTTCAAAAAAAACTGAATATATAAATACGAGGCCCTTCTTAGTTAATATAGTAATATATTTAATAATTTAATTACCTTAGCAGTTTGTTAAACTGATTATATATATATATATATATATATATATATATATATATATATATATACAAAGTAATCGAATGATTGTAATATTGGCTCAGACAGTATCAATAATAACAACATAAATGTGCGTAATTTTCGCATGTAAATGAAGAAAAGATGTAAAAATTAACAGCTTTTAATTAAACTGTAAATAAAGTAAGATAACTAAAGTGTTTTCTCACTATAAGTAAATATATGAGATTAAATGTAATGAAACAATTGCAGAAACGAAGATGAATTTAATCATGGGAGTATGAGTAAAAATAAAGGACAGGAGATATTTTCATATGCAAAAATAAAAGGAATAAAAGTACCGGAGTGAAAATATCTTACGGTCATGTTAAAAGCACACAATACTCAGCATCATCTCTTGAATAGAAGATTTTCTACTGCTTCATGAAGCTGGATGTAGAAAAATGTTATTTGATTTTAATATATTCTATTAGAAATCAGAAAATCAATAATTGAATGAGTTGAGTTAAAACAATCAATTAAATGTTTAAAGACAGAACTCTTGACTACTTCCTTTTATATTTAAATCCGAAGTACTTTAGTTTCGTAACAAGTTAATAATAGGATTCTTTCCTTTTAGTTGATTTACAAGTGTAATTAACATTGTTTATCAGTTTAAGGTTCGTATTAATAAAATTTTTTGGAAAATACAAAATCAGAGTGAGTGTAAGTCCAACTGAGTAACATACAGAAGACGATAAATTCGTTCTACTTCAGATTTAATTATAATCTATATTTGACTGAAGCAAAAACAATTAATAAGCCAGAATAACATGAATTCATTATATTTCGTGGCTTTTCACTAGGAGCTTACAAGCTAAACACAATAATATTAATCTTTAAAAACAGAATTGTTTGTTACGCAACTTTTCTCTTCATGATACTATTTATTAAATTTCATTTCTTATTTGGTCTGTACTCAGTTAATTTTGTTTTTAGAGTAACGTAAACATAACAATAAATTATTTCTTTATAAGTGTGTTTCTGTGTTCTTAGTTATTTATTTTAGAATATTCTTATGTTCAATTTATAACTTGTTTATTTATTTAAACACATAAATATTGGTACAAAGGGGCACCGAATACATAT